TCGCCATTGTCCGGTGCGCTAGAGAGTTCTCGGTCCTGGGGTTTATTTAGAGAACAATGAGCACTGCTTAGACTTCATTATTAAATGAGACTAAGGATTTTCACTGCAAAAGTTTTCAAATGTGAAATGAATACCGAGAAGTGTGGTGAATGATGTCCGTCTCGGATTTTACGACGCGCATCAATCGCAGAGGAAAAGGCTCGATTTGCAACAATCAGGTCTCACAAAGAGCGGAGGCGTCGGGTTTCACGACACTTGACGAGGATCGGCACGGGCAGCGGTTTACGAGGTCGTAAAGACGTGGCCAGATATTGAACGAGCCTGCGCCGGACGCCGGACGACTCACATATCCAACATGCTATATGCACATACACAACTATGTGTGTGTACATACGCTATGAGTTTCAGGTTGCGCAATAAACCGCTGGAAAGCATTGCGTCCTGAGCGTTCACTTAATGAAGGTAGCAATAAATAGTGAGATATTTTTACGGCTTTAACTTATATATAGAAATAATGACCTTTTAGTGCAAATATTTACTCATTATACCCACGAGAAAGTCAGCAAATAAATGTAATTTTTAGTTTACATTTGTTATGGCATTAAAAAAGTTGGGAAAGTCTAGATTTTAAAGACTTGTTTTACGACCGAGAGAAAAGGTAGATGTAATAGTTATTATTCTACAATATGCACGCGTATATACATATAAATAAGGCCACATAACATAATGTTTGAACTAATAAAATGTCCATATAAGAGGCTATGCGATGTTTCGAAACGAAACCACTCGTGTTCCAATTTAATGACAAGCGATAAAACTATGATATGAAACTCGAAAGCAATATCTTTATTTTCGTTCTCTTGGAAAATAGTGTAAAATAACATACTTTTCTATGCAAGCACTTGATTATGACCACTGAATTTTAAACCTTGACACGTTGCAAATTGTTTTGTGAGCAGCTATTAGGTACTAACAAAGTCGAAATGTTGTGTCAAAAATTATTGAATCTTTCCGGTTTCGTGTCAGACCTTAAGAATAAGGTATATTTGACAATCTCAGTGGCCAAAAGGCTTGCTCTCCGGTTTTCATGGTATCCCGGGTTCGATCTCCGGCCCGGTCAATGAAAAAAACTAACTTTTTCATAGTATCTCGGGCCTTGGTGCTTGTGATACCGTCTTTGTTTCCGATTTCCATAACACAATTGCTTTAGTTACTTACTTTGGGATCAGAGCGACGTATGTGATGTTGTCTAATTTTATATAAGTATTATACATAATTCACCCATATTAAGAAGTTGTAACAGTCAACTACTATTAGCTATTAACTCTACTCTTTTCTCGGATCTAAGTGAAGTATCTTTATTTTTTCAAACATACCAATGTTAAGAGCTGGATCCTATGACAGGTCCTATGACGCGACTGATCTTAATTCCTAATGTGTAGTAAACACGAAAACCTAAGAACTCAACTGTATATCAAATTCAGAAAAACTCGAAAGTAGGTCATCTACTTTCGTTACACTTTCAACCAAACTAAATACGTATTTATTGTGTAAATAATTATTTAACTGAGTAATCCAAGTATATCCACATCGAAATATAAATTGTACTAAACTATTTTCAAAAATGGCTACTCAAGAAAAGTCATCATGAAAATATCTTTCATTTTGTTTGAGAGGAGTAAATGTGGTTCTGTAAATTTGTGGTTTCTCTGATGGACTCAATCCCTAATTAAGTCATTCGTCAGAGAACTGAAGTGACCGACATAGCTCGCAAAATCAGTGAGCTTAAGTGACCCGGACATGTCCGCAGGAGGGCTGATGTCCGATGGAGCAGGCTAGTTCTAGAGTGGCGGATATTGTAAGTCGCCATTTGGCAATGCGTACGAACAACCTGGGATAGGTGACCGGCAGCGGCTGAATGCGGGCGGTACAAGACCGGGAGATTTGACGTGCTCAAGAGGAATATAAAAATTTTGGATTGAGGACAGGAAAACACCTAAAAAACCTACCTATCCACCTACCCAAAGAAAAAGGGGCGCCTAGGCGACATTTCAACAATGTTTCAACAAAACTTATTAGCACACAAGGTCCAAGGTACCTCAATTCACTGGTTAACTTATTCTACAATTAAAATTTAGCACAAAATGTAGTATTTGGCATACGTACAAAATTTAAAGCAAGCCGGTGAAAATCGATTTGTATGGACGCCTCGCCACTGATACCTACTCAATCAATACATAAAATTCTTGCAAGTAGCAAGTGCATACTGTCTAGTTTGTTTACTACAAATGACGTGACGCGTTCTGAGTTGACAAATAGTACCGTTTGCGAGGCAATTTATTGTTAATTATATTTGAACTAGTTACTAGTTTTTAGGGACTTGAAAAACTTAATTTAAATAAAATAATATTTTTCTTGGCTGTATATGCTTAGTAACAGTAGAGCTTCTTGTAAACGAGTTCGTCCAGGGAAATACTGCCTATTTCTTCCACCAAGCAGTAATGTGAACATTACTGCGTTCCAATTTTGAAGGATAAGGGTGCTGGTAACATTACAGGAACATGGGGCTTGTCATTTATGTCTCAGGGGGACAAGCGCTATGGAAGTGCCCCTCAGATCTTTGCTTTAAAGCTCTTAAAACTTTCACGCGGCTAGTTCGTACCTTGGCGTTACTTGGCATCATAAAAAAGGCATGATAAGCAGGTCTTAGATTGAAGAGTTAAGCTCATCTGGGTGCAGTCTTTGTCTTCCTTAAACAACGCAAACTCCCTTTCGATTCATTTTCGTTAAAGTAATTTATTTCCAAATATCCTCGTCCACACTTTTCTTCCATCTTTCTTTCGATCTAGTTTCAATAAAGTCGTAAAAAGAAGGTAGGAGAGTAGGAGCTACGTAGCGTTATATAATGGTTGAAAGAATGCCTGCATATTATCTAGGAAGTCCGAGGTTCGACGTCGTGCGGGCTAAGACTTTTCAATTTATAGTTTAAGTTACTAATCTTATCATACTTGCTAAAACTGAGAAGGGTGGTATCCTAAAGAACCCCAAGTAATTACACACAACATACGAATGTGCACTGTGTCGACGTAGTAGCATAAACCCTCTCTTTACAGAAGATCTGTGAACATCAGTGAGACGTACATAGATTGATGACGGTGATGACTATCATTATGTACAGTTAAAACATAAGCATGGTTTCGTATACAAGAATTATCTAAAATATTTTGGACAGGTTATTGAAATCTATCCGTAAACCGCATTATTAATTTGGACGGGTATTGCGCATACGCAATTATGTTATAAAGGGACAGCTATTAATTTACAGTGCTGCTAATCACTAGGGACTGCATAAAAGATTTTTATAGAAAACTTTAATTCCTCTGGGTGGTCGCTAAGAGCTAAACAATTTTCTATACGAAATTGTCAAAAATTAGACGCAATCGCTGACGATGAACAACACTGAAAAACTTCTGGTAAGCTTGTACTGATAACCAATTGAGAAATATTATCAAATTATGGTCATATTTTGAATAGATTTATATCTCTAAAATAACATTTCACCGTCAGAATCATCTCCCTGATGTAGACGACGTACAACGTATTGATGTGAAAAGTCATTTACAATGCCAACATCTCAGAGTCTGAAATATTTGTCCGCTTTTATATGCATAATATAACAATAATGTGCTAGTCTATTAGAGTAATTATTTGCTCCTAGTCTCCTTAGTTTGAAACTTACATTAAAAGTATTTTAATTGAAAAGTCATATTACAAAATTGAAGAATATATGTTAGATAAAGATATGGAAAGACATGAGTCTACATTCCACACAATTATGATTCAAATTGTATTTCATAGCATTTAAATTAATTTGAAAAGAGCAAGGTCACCGTAATGAACAAGCAGTAGCTTAAAAAATGACGTTCAAGTGTAAAAATTCTACCTGTGGAATAGATGATTATTTGGTTTTGATTTTGCTCTTAAACTAAGGAAGTCCTTGTACTATGTAACCCCTAATCAGAATTATCAGATCAGAACCAATTTAATAAAGTTCCTTTCCCGAATTGGATCTACCGGAAAGCGAACTGAGGACTTCCTCAATAGCGCCTGCAGTGCTAACCGATGCGCCACCGAGTTTGTCGAATATATAAAATTTCTGTGAATTAGTCTGGCTGGCGGACACAATGATGATATTCTAGTAGTAGATAGTAGTTTTCTGTAGCTTATAGTTGAAACAATATTAAGTTTTTACATATAGGTACGTCGTTACACATATATTATCATAGGTGCATACGTATATAAGTCCATATATATACTATATTCTATATCTTATTAAGAATCATTATTAGTTACTACAGTTACTGCTTTTAAATATTACAAGTAAACATAAGAAATTTCCATAAAAAGCGACTCTACATTTCTTCGTTTCAATTACTCAGAACATCGAATTGCTAATCAAACAATGTGAAAATGAAATATAAATCACAAAACGCAAACGAAGCACATAACACATTTCATACGTTTCATTTATTATCACTATACTTGAACATAATGTCCCCAAAGTGGATTCCGTGAAGACAATGCGCAATAACATAAAATCGTTGCCACATTGCCGCGACGAACTACGCGCTACAAAAGAGCATCGTATTTCCACAAACACATAATAAAAGTAAATAATGAAAAGCCTTCGTGCTCATCCAATGACAAATGACAGCGGAGGGACCATCCCTCCGAACCTCGATACTAAACAAAAGGAATTCTGTATCAAGTACATACGGTACAATTTGGTAGAGCAAACCCAGGAGGATGGCCCTCGCTATCTTGTCAGGCGGGGACGCACCGACCAATCAGAACGTGCTCGCAGCGCATCACACTGTCCTTATCTTCGTACCTACTGCGCATCTTCACGCAATAACAAACGTGAAACAGGATTTCAAACGCGCCGGAAGTATAAATAGTTTAGTTTGTATTTCAAAAGTTATAAGTGACCAGTAACTCACCTTGCGCCTGCAGGCGCCTCGCCACCGCCTTCGATCGCATCGTATTCTCCACGTTAGCAGCAACGCAGGACAGTCTCCTCAATTATTTACAGCGATCGATGACACAAAAGAGTTCTATTCTATTTTAAAAGTTTTGGAAATTGCCCCGCGGGCCCGTATTTGTGCGCGGGTCCAAGGTGGGCGCAGTGACGGGAGGGCGGTCGGCGGGAGCGAACGCGTCCCGCGGGAGGAGGATGATGTGGTTTGCGCGAGGAGCGGCGTGTCACGCGAGCGGCCGGCGGGACACTGGTTCACGTGCTTACCGCTAGCGCGGGGAAAGCGATTTTCACGCGGGAAACGCGATAGTGACCGCCCGCGCTGTCTCGAGCCGCTGCCGCGACCAACTGTCATACTTGTACACTTGGGCCGGAGCCGGTGGGCGCTACGACGTGCCGCGGTGCCACCCACCCGCCAGCACGCCGGCACCGCGCACCATCAATGTATGAGTACACTCTACAACACAGCTTTGTTTTTTCTTTGTTCATTATTTCAGGTCAACGCAGGCAGAATATGAAGCTAGATTGTACTTACAAAACAAAGACTTTCTTTCACGCTCTATCAAATACTTTTTTTAACAACTTAGTTAAGTATATTATTATAACATATACGATATTAATGCATCATTGCCATGGCATCTTCATTAATGTACATATGAGAAAAACTTTTAATCGCCTCTATATTTCTCCTTCATATCGCCTACCAACCCAAAAATGATTTAACAAAAATTAACGACCCATAAAAATACCAACCATTTAACCCACTAAATAAGCCTAAGTAACACTATAGACTAAGTAAGTTAAGCTATCTGGGAATGTTATCAGACTGAAGCAGCGGTGACCCGAGGCCTTAACTTATAGTAACTTAACCAACTTAACTCTGAGTTAAAGCGCCTTATTAATGTCAGGAATAGGATTTGCGTGGCCGCCACCGACCATTTTTTTCTCTAATTAACATTCCTACATTGTAGACACGCGTGAGCTTTTATTTCTTTATGGCAACATATTCTCTGCTGGTTAGATTATGAAAATACTGGGTAAAACATACCCGCTTAGCTAAAATTTTCAAAGTACAATTACGTAAGATCCTTCGGTGATTCCGTAAGAAAACAAAAGTCGAGTAAGATTTAGTTTCGCAAGAAATCTTGTAATGACATTAGGCAATAGAAGAATCCTCGTAAAGTAATTTACATGGACAAGTAGGAATGGGGTTATGGTCCATAAAATACGATTGCCAACTTGTCTAAAAGAATTGACCGGGAAATGGAAAATACGTGACCGCATGTGCTATGTTTCTCTATGGACAAACTTTCTTTAAAAATTCGATTCGATTGATATCAAATCTTTTTGATGAATTAAAATTGAAAACGGTTTTATTTAGGTAATAATA